CATTCCTACTTCCCTATACCTTGAATTTCACTCTTAGTATTGCCCACTGCTACTCCCTAGACCTCAAAGCATTTAATGCATCTGGAACTGCAATTTGTGTCTTCTTCTACAGCATGCAAGTTATCACCGTTTAGTTTGTACTGCCACGAGCAATGATCTTCAGAATTACCGTATTGCGTTGCATATTCCACCCCACCCAGCTTTAGAACCAGATTCTGAAAATTAAAAAAATATTTACATAATTTTCCCCCTTTTAATGCATTCAGAAAATGAATATCCCAAGATTTTAAAATGGATTTATCAACATAATGATTGTTTTCGTCATACTAACAAAGGCAAACTTTTGCACACTTAAGGCCCCGTTGAATCTTTCTCTTCTAACTGTTGAATATTATGTCAGCCTAATACAAACAATGATCTATGATAGTGAAAGCAAATACCAACTGCCATTCACTGTGCAATTTTGCCATATCAGCTGAATGTTCACCCTAGCAAGCATCGGACCACAACCTTCTCTAATTATTTATGTATGATCTGAGGCCTAAGGATTTGCAAGAACAACAATGAGAATGACAGAAGTTCAAATTATAAAAAGAAGAAATGAGATAACTTATTAGATGTTGCAATTATGTGTATTCTTATTGAAATAGAGGTTTCTTTTAAATAAATAATATTGTGATAGTAGTAGTTTATCCATGATTACTTTTCATTTGTTATATTCCTACTGTGACTGTGTCCTTTGGAAATTAAATTATTCGTTTAATTTTTCCCTCTTAATTTTCGGAAGATAAAATTAGTAAAAATAAGTGGGAATATGGCATCAAGAGCATTAGATATCCCCATTTTCTTGAAGCTGTTCACTATTATTGTTTCATCAATGATAGGCCATGCACCCAAAATCCACTAGCAAATCAGTTAGTAAGATGAAAATGACCACTATGCGGACAAAACATTTAGGGTAACTTGTTTTGTGAGCGCCTTAAGGAAGACAAACATTACCTAAATCTTTAAAACATATTCAGAATCCTGTGCTAAAAGAAAGCTAGGGGGAAAATGTTGTCCGAGTCCCAGTGATTCCTTTGGACGAATATGTAATATTGTTTTAGAAATTTAAATTTAAGGTAATAAATATAATATTTTTCGAATGCTAAAACAGTTCGAGAAATTTATTCAAGTTCTGAATTCTGAATATAAGTATACTGTATATTATATTTAATAACTATGGTGGCTTCATTTATGAAAATATTTGAATATTGGCTGTTTTTGTACAATGAACCTTCTCTAAGCTACGCTATGATTCCTGAAAATTTTGATCTTTAAATGATAGTGGGCATCCTAGAGAAGTTATGTTTACTAATTAGTTATTTTATGAGGATGCTGGATTAAATTTAAAAAGTGATTGACTGAGGTAGCTTGTCGTAATGAGACGGTTCACTGTAATCCAATTTTTTAAAGAATTTAAGCTGTTCTTAATTAATTAAGATATTATAAAGAAATATGATTAAAAGTGTTATATAAGCACATGTTTAAAACATCTATTAAAATAATTTTTATAAGCTTTTTAAGAGCATGATTATGATTTTAAAAGAAATGTTTTTTTCTTTATTTAGGAGACATGGTTTACAAAGAGGAGAAAAACCATTCATTTTTTCCAAGCAGTCGAAACGAATTTTTATGAAATGTTTATTAAAATTATGTTATTTTTTAATTAATTCTTTTTTTCAGGTTTTATGTAAAGTTTATGAATTAAGTAATAATTATTTTTTACTTCTGTATTTTAATTAGCATATTATTTGCTTCATAGTGTTTCACAATAAAATTATAAATTCAATAAACTTCTTAATTAACATGCTGTAATATAGAGAGAGCATAAAGTTTGTTTTCTGTTGTCACATGTTTATTTCACAATTTTGTATGCGAATCTCGAAATTTATAATAATCTAGGAATACTTTTTAGTATCACTTTCGAAATGGTAAATATTAAGCTTAGATTTATTACATATTATGTTTGTAAAAAATTATAGGTAAAATTAAAATGCATTAAATTTTAAGCTAAACTGAAGTATTAATTTTAGAAATAAATTTCTTAAAGGCATAATTGTATTAAGAATTTTAAGGGAAACAAGGCTTTAAAAATTAAGGTCAGTTGGCAAAGTTTTATGCTTATTCAAAAAGCATGACATTAGGTTTTTAATGAAAGACTTCTATCTGTTAATTGCAAAGGAAATTATTTGAAGGTAAGTAAAAAAGTTATGCATTATTTCAAACAATAGCAGACTGTTGACAAACACTGAGTGCAGATAAGAATAAAAAATTAGTTAGACGTTGTAATTCAAGCGTATGAACAAAATTTGAATTCCTTGTAGTAACAAAATGAAGTTCATTGCTATGTTGAATTCTTTAATTTACTGAAAATGTCATTTTTTAGAAGGAGAGGAGAGAATATATTTTTGAAAATGAAGAACAGCTGTTCTGAGTTCTTCATAGAAATATTTCACAAAATGTCTTTTTACTGTAATAATATGATCATATCAACATGCAACACGTTTACTCATATAAGTTAAATCTAAAGCAACATGTGTCTATTTTAGCTAAAATTACTAAAAAGAAAGTTCTAGAACATATCTTATTAACTGACACTAAAACATGCAAATAAAACATACTATTTTTTTCAGCTATTTTACAGGGCAAATATAAGGAATAGCATATCAATTTGAACTTTTAAATTAATCAAAATGATAATATGAAAGGCCTTTCAATAATATCAGACGTAAGTTTCTCTTCATAAAACAAAAATACTCCGCAACAGACTAATGTTACTTTTTGAAAAAGAACATTGCTGTTGAAAGCACATCTTTTAAATTAATGCTATTCTGAGGTCAAATTGACTAATTTAAAAAGCCAAACTATTATGCTTCACTTGCATATATCTGTATAATGATATACACATGAAGATATTGTTTTACTCAAAACATCTTGATTTCAATATATTTTATTATAATAAGCATTTTAGACAAAAAAAAAATCTACTACTTTTATAAACATATCCTTTAGTATTATCTATGAAAAATATATTCTACACACATAATTACTTAATGGGATATTAGAAGGAAATAATCTGAAACCTTTACAGATACAACCATTGGAATTTTACGTAAGAAAAGTATCTTCTACTCACATAATCTATAATAATACAAGTAAATAACCTGTAACGGTTACAGATATATCTGTTGAGATTTTACATGAGAAAAACATGTTCTTTCTACATAATTATTTGCTGTAATATTACACGCAAATAATCTGTAACCATTACAGATATATCGTTTGGGATTTTTCATGAGAAAAACATGTTCTTTTTACATAATTATTTGCTGTAATATTACACGCAAATAATCTGTAACCATTACAGATATATCGTTTGGGAATTTACATGAGAAAAATATGTTCTACTTACATAACTATATGCTGTGATATTACAAGAAAAAGATCTGTAACCATTACAGGCAAAACTCTTGTAATGTTACAAAGAAAACACCTGTTTCTGTTACTCAAATAACCCATGGCATCCCAGTTTCCATGAGTTTTCTTAGTAACTTTACAGATTTTTTTTACAGTGCTCTATGGCCTTGGAACATCCCGTGGGCAGAAGAAACGCATTTTCATGTGGGCGATTCAGTGAATGCTCACAGTTGAAGAATATGGAGTTCACAAAATCCCCACTCGATTCTGCATGTTCCACTGCATTTCCCAAAATGAGGGTACGGTGTAGATTTACTACATCATTTATACTGGATCGAACTTCATCGAGGAGCTAACTCCTACAGGTCCAGTAACACGTTCGATCACCGGACAGCTGTATGCAAAGCTGTTGGAGAAATTGTTTTGGCTGAACGAACAGTCTTTCTGCAACATAGAGTTCCTTCACACATTGTTGGAGTGTTAAGAATGCTTTCAAAAGGCATTTTACGCAAAAACGGGTCATCACCCAGTGTTTTCGTCATGTATTGTTTTCCCGACATCCTGACCTGAGTCAATGCGATTTTTAGTTCTGAAACAACTGATCAGCTGTGACAATTCTAGCAAATATTCTGACCTTTAACGCTGCATTTAGCGAGACGTACGCAACATGTCCAGGTACGTGGTTCGCTCAAGTGTGGAACATGTCATCTTGAAATTTCAAATGGTAATTGAAACAATAACGCCTGTGTGGAGCATGTTTTGATGTAAACAAAACTGTGCAAGTAAAAGAATGCAGATATATGTATAATTTATTGATAAAAGGCCGTCTAGTAGCGATATTCCGAATTAGTTTGATTTTATGTAAACTATGTTTGCCGTACCTATATCAAGTCATACACACAGTTTCACACATTTATGGCAAACTGTTATGACTGTAGGCAGCTCTGAATAGGGAAATTTTAATTGTGGGCACCCTGTAAGTCGTAGTGGTTTTTCCGGCGTACTACAGATCTAATTTGGACTTTGAATCAGAGTTTCGGTGGTCATAAGAAACATTGTAGCTATTTTAAATCTTTAGGCACCATAAAAATTGTCGTATAGTTCTAAATTGCTACATAATTTGCATAATTACACATAATTTGCTGTATTTACAAGCAAAATCTTTGTATCCCTAACATTCTTTGTAATTTTCTCGACTAAGCCTCACCAATGATGTAATCTTTGAGTATTCTCTACAGAAGCATCGCAACACGTGATATCAACGTGCTGTAACTCATAAGCCTCACGTCAAAGTAAATGTGAAGCAGCTGCGGTACAACCGTTATAATTAAAACTTCCTAGATGTATGAAGTATTGTTTTCGACTTTTCCTTGGAACACAGTGGGAATACGAATACTTGATTATTGATATGTTAATCCGAGTTATTCCTATCTACATGCAAAATTTCGAATTAACTAGTATTAACCTCATTAATTAACAAACAAATTCATCGACAATATTTCATTTTTATACATTAGTAAGTATCATAAATTAGTTCTCACCAACAAATGTGTGTATCTTCAGCTGCTCGGTTGACCACTTGTGCCACAAGAGGACGATAATATCGTCCACAGCTCTGCACTGAGACACGACGAAAGCAATGGGCACTTTCTAGATAATCTACATAAAGAAAAGGAAATATCAATTGGGATTAATTGCAGCTCTTACCGTAATTGCAAGCATTCATTGAAATTATAAATATTGTATTAATGTTCAGGTTTTTTCATCTCTTGTATATGGAAAACTGAAGTATAATAACTTACGTTTAAATGCATCGTAAATTTGAAATATTTTTCACAATATTGTATCAGTTATAATAAAAATATGACTTAATTTAATATGGTATACATTATTTTTTCATTAATGTGTTATCATTATTTGTATGAAACCCCAAAGATACTTTAGATACCAATATGATAAGCTAACATGTTTTTGTGCTTTTCCAATTTGAAATGCAGAGTCTCAAAATAGATTCAAACACATTATCGTGTTTCGTGGAATATAAGTACATGGAGAATATGAAAATGGCTCGTTTTATGAGGACTATTATTAAAATGCTTAAATGCACAATTAGAGCTCTGCAAAAGATGTTATTGAATTCATTAAAAAGCACTCCGAAGTCTATGAGTGGTGATATCTTTTTTTTCCCCCTTACTGAGGAACAATTCCATGATAAGAGAAAAATATCCGTTAAACAATATTTGTTTTTCCAATGAAAGAAAAGAAAAGTAATCTGATACAGCGAAAACGTATCATAACAAATATTACAGAAGCTAAATTATAGGCTCGTATTATAAGTTATTAAAATTTATTAGGCAATTATTAAAAATGATCTTTTTCCAAGGAAGCAACCAAAAATAATTGATACTCAACTTCTACAAGCCGAATTGATATAGATAGGCATATTTGAAAACTTTGGTGCATTTTGAATCATTGGATTCGATTGCTCAAATAAAAATACAAAGCTGACGCAATAAATAGAAAGTCTATGCGTAAAAGGTGAAAATAGTCAGACAGAGAGCATTTGGTAAACAGCTATTAATTCTGTATAAATTTAGAAAAGCTGTAAATAATAGATTTTTCCAAACATGTGCACAGAACAATCATTCAAGTTTTAAGAAATAGGACAGTGAAAATTCCTTTTTCTAACCACTGAAACATTTCATCAGTTTGAAACAGCAAATTTAAATCTGTAAGCTTGCATTTCCAAGAGCCTGCAGTGCAAGAGCCGTCACTAGCAAGAATGCAGCAAGAACTGAAAGTTTTGATTGTATTGATCCAGTACTATTACATTGACTAACACATGGTGCAGAAATAAATAATAAATGCAAAGTTCTAAAAAAATATGCGGAATGTGACTTATTCAAAAATGACTGTGAAAGTTAGTAGAAAGTATAGTTCTACTGCCCATGATATTAAATATATTTTTCCATGCTATACACAATAAAACTGCCAAATTATACTAAGATGCGATGCGCTGCGACATAGTATCCATTGTAAATATCACAGTTTGGTACTCTGGAAACAATGCTTAAAAAGACGCCACTTTTCAACTAGGAAATGTTTCACTCAGGCAACCTTTATCATGTTCGAGTTATGCTATCTGTTAATTTGTTTCATGGCAGGATATTTGTCTAGTGCTCCGAATGATTATTTCTTGCTTTAAATTAGCTTTTTCATCACCACCTTCATTTGAAAGAGTCAAATATGTTAGAAGTGCTGAGATTAATGAAAAGGAAGTTTATTAAACCCGTAAGTATTACAGAATGGCAGAATTAGTCATCATTCAACCACAGTTAGTCTTTATAGAAATTGAAGATCAGGACAAAATGGATTATGGAGTTTCAATTGGAGGCATGGTCTTCCTTATGAAAAGTTCGAAAGGAATATTAAATTGATAAAGACTTAACCTGATGGGTAGAAGACCTGACTTTAATTCACCTTTAAAATACTAAAATTTCGGATATATCTTATATAAATGCTTCAGGGAAGAAGCTTGTAGACAACACGATGAGAATTTTGTGTATGATTTAGCCCTCTAGTACATTATTAACTTCTTAATTTCTGGAAAAGATACTTCGTAAAGCAATTTCCTGGTCTTTGCTTTCAGAGAAACTGCTTGTTCATCAGAAATATACGTGTAACCGTGGTTTTAGAATAGCGTAACTTCAGCTTAAATGCACACATCTGTTACGCAGCAAGGAACAAAATTTTGATTTTTTTAAATTTGTTTGGCGAAACACTTACTTTTCATATATGGCGGCGCTTGAGTGATTGTATTGCCACTGAAGGAAAAATGCAAAGTGAAAAATATCATTTTTTGTTGCAGAAATTATTATTTGCCGTTAAATTGTTTATTTTATTACTTGCAGAGTAGAACATTTCATGTTTAATATCAATTATTCTTACATTTGATTTTTATCTTTCGGTGGTATTCAGCTGTTTGCTTAAAGATAACAGAAGATTTAGTAAGCTTAAACATTTATCCTGTATTTTTTCATATTTTAAACAAGTTTTACATTTTTGCTTAGTAATTCTTTTTTAGAGATTTATTTTACGTGTGAAACGAAGCGACAAAAAAAGGAAGTCTTTGCAACTTCTCACAGTTATGGAATTTACCATGCGTTTTATAACATTTCCATGAATGAAGATGAATAATAACTGTCGCTTAACAATTTAGTTACAGTGAGCTCATTTTCCGGCTTTTTATGAATATTCGTTCGTTCATGATGTTTTTGAATGAAACAGATCTGAGTCCATTCATTTCAGTTCTACTAAGTAAATTCTGAAATTCGATCGAATTATTGCTTGATCTATGATGGGGAATCTATATATAATTTAATTACGAATTTAAAATCAATAACAGAATAAATTTTTCTCCTTTTCTGGATTTCAGTACCAACAAGAAATTCAGTACTATTTATGATACACAAGAGTCCAAAAGTCCTTGACAAATTTCGTATTCAGTTGTGAAGCACGTATAAGAAATAGGACCATGAAGTTTACAGAAACCGTTACAGTAACTGAAAACGCCTTTTTTATTTTATTATTGGATCAAGTTTTTTTTTCTTTTTCAATACAGAATCAATTGAAACATGGGAAGTGTACTGGAATATAGCAATAATTTTTGTCGTAGCTCTAGTTGAGCGGCGATTTTCATTCCCTCATCGAAAGAAAATTTCTTCCAAAGTAATTGCCATTTCAGTGATAAGAACGTCCAGAAATTATTTGTCACTAATTCTCGACGAAATGCAGGATAGTTTAGATTTAACAGGTCAACTACAGATTTCATACAGTGCTGCCAGTATGCCACAGCAGCAGCCGAGGATTATCCTGACGCAAAATCCTCTCCCTTTCTTCTTCATGAGGTCTCGCAGATGGTTTTTAAGCTAATTACGTTGAGAAAAAAAAAAAAAAAAAAAGAAAAAAGAAAGAAAGAAAGAAAAAGATAAAATGCGCATTCTGTTCACTGCCTGCGCACAGATATGCAGTGCTGACATTTACATTCACAGTGGGTAATCTACCGGAACGTGCTTTGTCGGATTCTCGCATGTTACTTTAATGGAAATGTCGCTGATATTAAAATACTGAAGCATGGCACTGCTGTAACATTCTTTAAATGAAGTACTACTGTAACATTTTAAGTGCTTCATTACCCTATTCCCAAGATTAACACAAAATTAAGTCACATGTCTGCCGTATAATCAAACTGATCTCTTCCTTTTATCCATCACGGCAAACTAACTCACTGCGACCAAATTCTGAAGGCCATGCCTGTCCAACTTCTGGTCCAAATTTTTCGAGGTATGACCTTTACAAAATCCAATACGAAGTTGCCACGTCTAATATCGGCAAACAAATGTAATCTCAAAACTTTACAGTCAACATAAACAGAATCCAAAATATCCGATCTAGCGGTGGTTTAGCAACAAAATTGATTATAATTTAAAAGCATGTGTATATTTTTCGCGATATAGAAAGGAACTGCATTCATCACTTGTCTCCTAAAATTGTTAAAATTATAATTTTTTTTTATTCCTCATTAAATAGCTCATATCAATCCCATGTGTGTGAGAAAATTAGTCTTTCGGCTTGCTCCATGCTGTTAAATGTAGTTTTAAGATAAAAAATGTGGTATATGTTACTGCGATTCGAAGCGCGAGAAATTCTTTGCCAACGTAAGTTAAATAAATTTCATCTTAATTGAAGATAAATATTTACATTAAAGAAACCAATATAATTATATATTACCTCTTTGGTGCCGATCCGAACTGCAAATGGCGTGGACTGTGTCCATAGAATGACTGACCGCTTTGTTGAATTTTGATCTTTGTTCTTCAGTGGAACAAGATGACATATATCTCCTTACACAGTCTACAAAACGACTCCACATTCTATAAAATAAATTATTTACGTAATAAAAACATTTTTTAAAAGATTTGACACAACTTGAAAGCAACTGCCTAATAAGTATTAAAGAATAAAGTGAAAGAGTATGTTCTATTTTTTAGGAAAAGCATATTCTAATATCACACTGAAAATACTGAACTCTTTTAGTTTATGTCGTATGAGTACAACACAAATTTAAAATAAATTATTCTTCTTAAATATCAGTGGTCATATATTAGTGATGTTGAGGTAAATATCTTCATTCAAGATATTTTTGTAATCTACAAGTTTAGTATTAAATGACATTGCGATTCGTAGCATTATCTATTTCGAAAGTAAAATTCAAAGTCATGCAATTATCTATTATTCTGTTAAATATGTCTGTTGAATAATTCATGAAGCTTGAGCTGATAATAATTTTAAACATTTGCTTTCTGCATATACTACTAACTAAACGTGTATATAATAATATGTGATATTTCTAAAAGTTATAAAGTCAGACGAAGCAACTTATTGCAATCACCACTTGCGAAAAGAACTAATGCAAATATTCGAATCCTGAGTATAAGAATAAATAATAACTTTCTAAAGGATAAAAAACAAAATGCAGGGATTTGCAAATTATATCTATGGAGGAATTCGACGTGAAGCAGCGATACAAACCTAAATTTTTCTTATGTTCCTAAGACTTTGTTTTGTTGATTGCCACTGAAGAAGAGTTATTCAAATGTTGGAACAAAATAGCAGTAAATTTTCCCAGGGAATTCGAAATAGAACATAGTTTCCTGGAAATAACATGACCGTTCTTGACAGCATTTTGAAACAACGGAATATGTTATAACGCATATTAGGAGGCCACTTCCACTCTGTTATGAATGACAGTAATAAATTTTCAAAACTTTGTTAGCGCAAAACATTATCGCCGCAACACCGTTGGTCAATATGAACATCTCACTACAAGCAGAGAAAGAGATTTCAAGAAAGTATGGCAAAGTTTGCGACATGTCATAAACTTGAAAGTGTTTAAACTCAACATAGCTCATATTTACATTTGTATTTACAGAAACTGGACAAATCAACACTGGCCCAAAGAGGTTTTTACAGATGGAAATCGATTTAATGCATCCTCATATTATAACTGCCAGACGTTGAAAATGCCACTCTGATCTTTCTGTTTTTTATGCTTATAAGGCATTTCTCCCGCCTTCTTAGCATGCTTTCGTAGTGTAGTGGTCAGCACGCTGTGCGCATATTCCAGAGGTCCGTGGTTCGGTTCCCGGCCAAGACTTTGCTCATTTTTCATCTCTCCTGCTTTCAGAATAGCCTAATGTATCTACAGTGGCGCCCCAACTAAAAGGATGGTGGATGAGGATTCTCCACATCCCAAGTTTTGGCGATTGAGTCCCCTAAAACCCCAGTCGCCCTTTAAAAGGGGGAGTAGATAAGGTATTTCTCCCGCTTTCTTGGCATGCCTTCGTAGTGTGGTGGTCAGCACGCTGGGCGCGTATTTCAGAGGTCCGTGGTTCGATTACCGGCGAAGGCGCTGCTCATTTTTCATTTCTCCTGCTTTCAAAATAACCTAATGTCTCTACATGCTTACAGTTAATTTATCCCGCGCCTTCCAGCAGCCTCATATAGTTTCTAAAAGGGTCTGGATGAGATAAGTAACTCAGATGATTTCCTGCATTTAGGCAATGATAATAATCTAAAGGGGAAAACGAGACATTTCTCTGTCCACTCCTAGCACCTACGTGATAAAACTGAGTTGGTCTTTTTTCGGAAAGAGATGCGCTGGATACTATGTTCATATCGCGTCTATTTTTATGGCGAACAAGACAGAGATTACAAGAAGTCGTAAACTATGACACCCATATAATTTAAATTGATAGCATTGGAAAAAATTAATGAGAAAAGATATTTGATACACCACATGAAGATAAATGGCATGTAAAATAAACAAGGCAAAATACTGTTTTGCTTTTAGGATATTTTTGAATCTACGTATAGAACAATAGTCAACTCACACATGCGCATACTGCTCGTTTGAGTATATGCTTTGTATTTAACTGTCATTTATCTGAACCGTATTTCACTGGCTATAAAAATGTAAGTTTGGGCCATGTAGACTTTTTCTTCCTCGTTAGAATGTCTTTTCGCTTAGAAAATACTTCTTTTTATTATTACTTACGAACATTATTATTACTGTACCAATAAACCGTAAAAATAGCCAAGCAAATGTTTTACGCCAATCCATAAAGTCGTCAGTGAGTTAGCAATTTTTCGTTGGAGTGTAGATAATCGGAAAGTACCGATATTTGTTTTGAAGTATCAAGTTATCACTATCTTTTGCATTTACCCATGTAGGAGATGCACAGGTAAATATGGGCTTGTGTGAACCACAGCGACAGGAATAAGTGGGATCCTTCGTTTGGGAAGGCATCAGAATAAATGTACAAGCTTACTTACATTTAATATAATATTGAATTATGTTCGGTTGATTAATATTGCATTAATTTATTTTTTATCATCAATTTATGTTGTTTTGTAGTACTGGACGGCAAGAATGTTTTCTCATGGATGACACCAAAAGCATGCTAAATAGCACCAAAAAAAGCATGCTAATAGTGCCTAAATTCAACTGCGTGAACCGTTTCAGGGTCCTTATCTTGTAGTCAAATGAAATTTGTGTTGAGGCAATTTTGCAGCTTCATTTTATTTCCTATTCCATTTTAAAACTTTGAAGTGCAAAAAGTTGCCCCTTTTTAATTTTGATTTTAATAAAATTTTATATATCTAAACAAAGTTGTCCGACACTGAAAACTGTCTGATTGTTATATTTGTTTTTCTTTTTCCCATCGCCAAAATTAGTTCTATGCATCATTATGCTCGCTGATAGAGGTTGAAAACAAATAATTTTATCTTCCGCGCGTAATCTTCGTGCTGGAATTTTTCACGTAAGACTGTGGGAACCAGATATGTCAATGAAGTCGTGATAAGAATCAGATTACCGTATGGATGTATGCAGTTATATCAGAGATGCACGCATTATTTGTAAATAAATTATAAGTGCACGCTTTTCATCTTGGTAAAAGATGTTTTTTACCAAGTTTTTACCCAAGATTGTACATAAGCAAAACTTAGGCGTTTTCGAAAGACAACAAGCATTTATTAGAACATAAAACGTACTCGTAACTTATTAGACTTAATGTAACTTATGCTTAAACATAAATCTGACTTAATTTAATCATTCATTAGACGTTTTCAAAAGACAGCAAGCATTTACTAGAAGACAAAACATCGTAAATTATTAGCCTTCACGTAACTTATGCTTAAACTTATATCTGGTAACCGAATTTTCTGCTGCCCCGTACATATCTATATTTTTAAAAATATGAATAGAAACCAACCAGAACTGGTTGTTGCCATTTCTCAGTAGCTATTATATCTAATTATAATAAATAATTTACAATCGGGCTTACACTTGTATGTGAAAGTGATCTGCATCACAAGTATAAAAGTCGAAGAATTTCTAAGGAAATTTCTTCATCCATATGAAAACATTATATCAATGGTTCATTTTAAAAACTTATACTTGTATTTTTTTTTGGATTTATATTATTCATAATCATTATACGTTCTAATTTTTGCAAAATATTATTATTATGTTATCTGATTTAGATTAATTTCCAAATTGGTCCTCTGGTCTCCAAAACAAAGCTCCGGTATATTTTTTTTTATTTTGTCATTTTTTATTTCTAGATCTAATCAACAAAATTTAGCAGTATCTATGCAGAAACTAGAATAATATTTAAAAATTATTAGTTTTAAACATATTACAAGAAATTTCTAAGATATTTGATGAGTAGGAAAGGTGAATATAAAAACTAAAATGTAATATGGCTTATGTTTTCATTGTTTATATTAAAAGTTTCGCAGATTTAAATGCTTCGTAATTGCACTTGTAGTGGAAGATCTCAAATGTATGTATGTGAAGGTCAAAACCTATTACTTTAAAATACTGTGGAGAACAAAACTATTGTTTCTGTAAACCTTATCTATAACTGCATTGAAATTTAATTGCCAATTATTATGGGCAAAGATAGAAATCTTTTCTAGGAAAGAAACACCTTCTTATGCTAATAAGAAGAATATGTGTGCTATCTGAAGGTCCACACATTTTATACATGTGCACTAGCTAAGCCTGGTTTTCCGTTGGCAGTTTTTTTTTAAATTTCTTATTAATATAAAATGAATATTCATTACTGTTTAGTAAAATACAATTATGACCCACCAGCGGCCGAGCTGTTAAATTCTGAACCCTGGTAACTGGACGCAAGTTCAAATTCTGGTGAATGAGCTGGCGGCATGGCTGCTCTCCAAGGTTAAATGAATAAAATTTCTCGTACAAAGCTATCTACGAAAGCATCCTTTTACTTAAGATCTGCAGTCTAAATCTAAATAATACAAGACAGTCCAAAGTATAAGTTATTGTAGACTTCTAAAATTTGAAAAGGCTACTACTATTTAAACATTTCAAAAATGTTAATGAGTAGAAATTAGCCTGCTAATGGGTGTAGTGGAAACATGATTTTGCACCAGGTATATACCGTTCCCTTGCAGCCAGCTCCATCCACGCATTCTGAGTAGCTCACGCCCACCTGTGTCTATTTCACTTGTTTTCCCTTCGGAGTGTAATAGTTTCTTTGTGAGAGCTGTCAATCATTTCTGTATAATCCAAGTAAGAAAAAGTACTTCGTCCTCAATATATAATACCGGAGCATGGTGACTGAACAAAATGAACGAAAGCTTTTTCCTGTAGCTTTCGTCCATTTTGTTCAATTACCATGGTCCGTACAGTTACAACAGTTACATGTACAGTACAGTACAGGTACAATTAACAAAGTCATTTCACTGTTGTTAAAGGCAATTACACTAAATTAAAGAATAGAATATACTCCCAAATATTATATTGAATTCTGTAAAAGGAAAGATCTTTGCTTTGATATTTATAAATTATCGTCTTAAATGAAGATTGATTTAGCTTACTATTTAGCGAAAGCTTTTCTGCATTAAGCTTATCCAAATTTTAGCTCTTATTAATAAGAATTAAAATAAATAAATAAAGTTAATTTCTTACTTGCACATTGTATCAACATCATTTAATGTCGTTGGAAACATATAAGTAACGTCATTGAGCATGGGTCTGACGAGTTTCGTGCACCCGTAGATCTTCAACTGACAATCTGTGGGCTCCACGGGAAGGCTGTTGTTGTTTTGTGCGCAAACCTTCGATATGACAAGGAATGCTGTAGCAGAGAAGAAATCGTAAAGTCTTTTTTCTTTGGAACGATAATTAATGATATATGAAATAAAGTAAATATTATGTGTTTTGGTTGAAATGTTTCTTTTCGAGATATATAGTAACATAAACAAACGTCAAATTTTCTGTAATAAAGTAAACAAAATTCGGAAAAATAAAACTGCCTCCGCACGAAACGCGTGTATTTTTAATAAATAAATTTATGATAATTTGTTTTTCCTTCTGTACTTACAATATATTCCTCTGTTCAAACCGGCTCACCAGCGGCCGAGTGGTAAAGCCACTGAACACTAGTAGTTCTTTCCGGGGATCAAATTCCGGCGAATGGAATGGTTGCATAGTAACATATCATTTAAAACTAGCACAGAAATATCGAACTTTCAGTAAAGCAATAATATGATTAGAACATTAATAAGAGGTTATGATAAATTACATTTATAAGAAGGAAATAACCAAAGTAAAAACATGGAATGTAACTAAGAGAATGATTCAAAAATTGAGCTACATGTGATTACTGGACCTACCAGCGGCCGAGCGGTAAAGTGGCTGAACATTAGTAGTTCGGTCCGAGGTTCGAATCCTGTGAGCGGGCTGGCTGCTTGCGCGTTTTCGTGGTTTTTCCCTATGTGTAACGTCTATACGAGCCGGTTTGCCCTAGAAAGCCCTCCACGAAGGATTTCCTCCCCTTAGGCAGATAGCCCTCGAGGCTTTGCCGTAATCACATTAACCAACCATCCATTTGATTACAACAGGCCAAGAAAGTTTTATGAATGCAGTTTTATACTATGCAGAAATACATTATGCTATAATTCAACGTAATTGCACAGTTTATGTAAATATTTATACTAATATTCATCTGAATGTCCTATTCCCTAACGATCGAAATGTGCTGTTTGCTCGCTGAGCTGTTGTAGAACCGTGTTCGCAATTTATTTTCCACCCGACGCAAGTTCTTACGCAGTTTTTGAGAGTATCGCTCTATGACTATTGTGATTCATTTCATCAACCTAACGTGCAGTACTCTTGTGCAACGCAGGAGATGCGTTCAGCGTAATAGGATAACGCGTTATACGCGACATAATACATTATCAAACTGACGTAGCTCTCTCATTGTGCCACGCTGAATATCTTGGATGAACTGCTGGACGAAATATTGGTTGAGAGGAGTTTTGTTGATATGAATGAGACAGACATGACCGAATAAATTAATTACAAAAAGATATTGATGAAATCATATTAATAGAATTAGCAAGTTATTCTCATTCTAGTGATGAGGAGAAAAACTCAGACCAGACTTTTAATGCGCCGAGGCTACCTTTGAGTTTAGAAGATATAAATAAAGGGTGACAAATAGCCAAAACGCTAAAAACACATTTTATGAAAATTGATCCCTCCATAGAGCGATTTACGATATTAAAAAGAAAACTGAATGATTATCTATCCCCATATTTTGAATCTAAAAATGATCTAAAGAAAGAACGGTTTTTAAATAACGATTATAATTAAGATGAAGCTGTGGATTATTTAAGCGACGAGTGAATTGCATGTTTTTATTTTATGATTTGGACACCACATGACTTCCTTGTACGGCGTGTTAAATTATACATATTTTTTGCTGCATTTCATTTAAATTTATTTCTTCGAATTTCATTAGAGATATATTTCTCATTTAATTAATTCAGTTCTCATCTCGCGGTAAGGCAATAAATAAATAAATAAATAAATAAATAAATAATAAAAAAATACATAAATAAATAAATAAAAAATAATAAAAAATACATAAATAAATAAATAAAATAATTTTTACAATTAAAATTGGAGTTTATACGTAAAAACAAGCAATTCGGCCGGCGGGTAGGAAGACAGATTTTTGGGTGCAGAAAACTGAAAATTTACTTTCGGTCCTACTTCTCAAAAAGACACTGAAGCTGGTGCGGAAACTGGCTTAATTCAGTATTCTATTAACAGCTTCAAATATAAACAAATGGCGGCTTCTTAAGGCTTAGCAGCTCGACTTAAGCTTTTAAATTGTGTAACACAGCAACTATTGCATTCATATTAATTAAAGGCATAAAATCCTTAACCGGAACACAAGAATAGCATAATTTAATTACTTTGAAAAGGAAAAATGCACAATTTACCAGCATATAACATTAAAAAAACTGAGCTCCCCGAATCGGGTAACGGAGTAGATACGTTTGGTGCGGCCGATTGCAACCAAAAAGACATGAGCACAACTACATGTTATAGCAGTCCCAAACACAATATTTCAACCTTCTGAAACTACTTGTTTTGAGTTATATGAGATACATACATACGTACATACAGAAATCACGAAAAAAAATCTCCTCTGAATCCATTTTAAATCCATTTTAAGAAAAGAGTCCTTTATTCTGTCCGTGCGTACAGTTATCATGCAAAAATATCGTTCAAATGGATTAATGTGTCGTCAGAATGGATATTTTATTGAAATATGGTACCCGAAATTTTTCGCGACTACAGTACTTCCTTTACTTCATACAAGGTAGTAAAAACAAAAAATAGAATATAATTAAAAGCGTTTCGGTTTATTCACGATAAATCATTCAAGAGATATTTAGACATGCCATCTATCAACATAAACGTCATATGCATAAACGTCCGTTAAGGCAGTCATAGTTAAAATCAAAGCTTCTATTAATAAGGTATTTCTCCCGCCTTCCTTGCGTGTCTTCGTGGTGTAGTGGTTCTGCACGCTGGGCCGGTATTCCAGAGGTTCGTGGTTCGATTCCCGGGAAGGCGTTTGCTAATTTTTCATCTTGTCTGCTTCCAAAAAATACCTAATGTCTCTACAACATTAGAAAAGGAAAGCTAACCTCAAGGAAAGGGCAAAAATTATTAATTGCCCAATTTAAATGCAGGGGGTGCTTTCCCCAAGTATTTTTAGGAACGAAACATAGCTCCTTCTGAGCAATGTATATGTGGAGAAAAGGACGACCTCAACCATTACATCTTCAAATATCCATTAACAAAAAACTATTGCTTGAAACTTCCTGAGACTAACATATATCAGTGCTTGCAAATAGCATTAAATATCAAACAACTAAGAAGAAAAATAGAACTCTCAGTTATATTCCCCGCTAGTAGAGGAGAAGAATTGTGAAATACAAGATAAGCAAATAATAACACACTGGAACTTTCAAAAATTTAAATTATAATTGACGAAACGACCTACTTGACAAAACATTGAAGGACAAAATTGACAAAAGTACAGACTAGAATTGACAAAAAGACTAGAGGACCATACAACATATCTTTGCATCCAACAAAATAAAAGAAATTCTAAAATATTCTGAAAAAAAATCATATACAAAATAATTTCTGCGTGTACTCAGTATATATACTCCCTTGCATATTAAAGGCAAAAAAGTGCTCTTTGCATTTATGTATATAACCATGCTATAGATATATGTTCGTAAATGTATTGTTACACGTATGCGATTATGTATCAATATGTTATATTTACCTTTATGTTATATATTTGCCTTTATGTTCTGTATTTACCATTATGTATTCGAGTATGAAAGGCACCATATGTCACAACTATATTGTAATCATATGTAAAAAAATGTAAATATGTCAAAATTCTTCAAAAAAAATTATATGTTCAAATAAAGAGATAGTGCAGTTGGACAATATCCAAATTACCAATGGTTAAGCAATGGGTGTCCGCTGCACTACAACCTGAACCTGTAGGGGGTGCTTCATAGTTTTCAATTCAAAAGTTATGGACAGATTGGCATATCAAAGTGCGATTTGTAAAATTTTCACTGATAGATTGAGTTATTAGTGATATGTGAGCTGTTACGCTGTTACTACACTGTGAAACAGAATGGAAAAATTTAAGAATTATACCACATTTATTTGTCTAAATTTACGATCATACTATAGCAATGTTAATAATACACTGACTACCAATAAGTATTTGGACACCTATGCAAATGACGATATCTGCGGTCCTAAGGTATTTCACGGACTCCGCCAGTATACATCGTGTAGGAAACAGCATCGGCTTTAGTCGCATGCAAGATGCCTCGCAGTTCGGAGCTCTCTGATTTCGAGAAAGGTATAATTATCGGGTATCACAAATGTGGCCGATCCTTAAGGGACATATCTAGCGATCTGAAGTAACCAATATCGATAGTGGCCTATGTGATTAAGAAGTGGAAGGTGAGCGGTAATTGTCGGGATGTGCCCCGAGTCGGCAGACCAACGAAACTGGGAGATAGAGATAGACGAGTGCTGTCCAGAGAAATTCGGAAGAACCGCACCCAACCGATGGCCCTCATCCGCGAGGAGTTTCAACAGGCATCCGGGAGTATTGTTTCAATGGATACCATCCGTAAGGAAACACATCTGCTTGGTTTTCATGGTTGTGCTGCTGCCCATAAGCCTTTGACCACAAAGTCCAACCGCACTGCTCGGTTAATGTGGTGCAAAGCACATCGAAATTGGACCGTATATCAGTGGAAACGGGTTATTTGGAGTGACGAATCAAGGTTCACCCTTTACCGTTCGGATGGCAGGGTCTGGCGTCTACCTGGAGAACGTCTTTTGCCAGAATGCATTGTGCTAACAGTGAAGTTCGGCGGAGGTGGAATTATGGTCTGGGGGTGTTTCTCCTGGTATGGGCTGGGACCCTTGGTCCCCATTCATGGTAAGCTCAACTCCGATGCTTACTGCACTATTTTGGATGACAATGTGCTTCCTACGTTGTGGCAGTTTTACGGGTTGGATCCCTGTTACTTTCAGGACGACAATGCCAATTCTCATGTTTCGACGTTAACCAAGGCTTGGTATGTTGCCAATGGAAAACATCGAATGGACTGGCCTGCCCAGTGTCCAGACCTGAACCCTATCGAGAACCTCTGGGACGAGTTGCATCGCCGAATTCAGGGGTGCAGTACCCGTGCAAAATCGGTGAAGGAACTTCTATGTCTTCTCCAA